CATGCATGGAAATATTGATACCTGTTTTATGATATATTTATATATGTAAGACATTTTTCTAAAAACATATACAAAAATATATCATAGTGTTATTTGGTTTAATATAATAGTTTTTTTTTTTTTTGGCATACTTTATTTTCTTTTAAATTGTTGAGATCAATTAAATTCAAATTAATTACTTTACTTAATTCTTGTAATTAATCGTCTATAATAAAAGTTTTCATAGAAATTAGGGCATGTTTTAAGCATTTCCTGAGAATAAAAGAAGAGAAATATAATAGAATAAAATAAAATAATTATTATGATAATTAAAAATTTGTCCAATTAGCATAGGAACCTTCTTGGATGAATCTGAATATGGATTTTCCAAGTGCAAATCCATCCAGCAGTTGGGTTTTCAAAGCAAGGCTGTGATGAGAGAGATAGGCAAACAAAGCAAAGTAAGTCTGGTCTGAAGCAGACTGGAGTTGAATGGTGACAGATCTGTCTTCTTTTGATCCCTTCTGCTTTTTTAAGCTTTGAGAAAAAAATATTCGATTTAAAATGGGACAATGATTTTTTTTTCTCCTCATTTGTCTTGTCAATACACATTGCCCCAGAAATCTGAACCTGAAACGTTGTGAGAATGATTTGGTTTTGCGTTTTTCCAATTCCAAGCAAGCATCTGCGCCTTCTGTCAAACAATATGTATTATTTAAAATTGGTCGGAAATTAAATTTTAATGTATATTTTTAATTATTTTTATTTGGTATTAAATAGATTTTATAATTTTAAACATAATATATGTTGATATAATAAAAAAATAAAAGTAATACAATTTAAAATTTAAACAAAAATTTATATATATTTGATAAAAATAAAAAATATATATTTTATTTTTAACTTGTTAATATGAATTTGATAAAATAATTTTTATATCTTTTATTTGTTAGACACAATAAATATGATATAAATATATAAATTATCAGATTTAATATTAAAGATTATCGATTAAATCTAACTAGCTAAAAATGTACGCCATTAATTTTTCTTTCATGTTAGTGTGAATTTTAAATAAAATTTTAATAAATCTCATTTAATTTTAAATTATAATTAATTAATTATAAGAAATGTGTTCTAAAAAAATATATAGGTAACTAAAATACAAATGTTAGTAATTTTTTTAATAAATTTTTGAAAGATGTAAAAGATTGCACATACCACAACTTTGATCTTAGCATATATGAATCCTTTGACTTTTGAACCATTTTTTTTTGGATTATTGTTACCTTAAATGAGACCGAGTAATTAAACAATATTTAATTAAATTAATTTCTAGAGATTAAGGTTTGGAAGATTTGAATCTAATTTTTTGAGTAAAGAAAAACAAGGATCAACCTTGCTTTTAAACCAAAGTGTTGGGTTGTAAACAATAATTACTAATTGAATGTATATCAATGAAATCAAAGAAAAATCCCATCCTAATTTGTGGTCAAATTAATCTTCTTCTAACACAATAATCTTAAAAGTTCAAATTCTAGTTTAAGAATTTGTGATGGTAAACTTTTATAAATAAATCACGAAAAACTCGAGTCTATGATAATTTATATATATATATATATATATATGTGTGTGTCGTATTTATTTTGTATGAAATATATATAAAATATAAAAATTATCATATCAAATTCACATTGACATATTAAATATGAAATATATTTTTTTGTTTTTAACAAATTGAAATGTATAATATTTAACAAAATTTTAAACTATATTATTTTTATATAATATTATCATGCTGTATTTAAAAATTATTAAATCTGCTTGAAGTTAAAGCTTTAAAACCAACCCTAACATTTTGGTTGGGGTGGGCCGATGGGCCACTTGGCAGTAATAATGTGCAGTCCTCTCGTTTACTCTCTTCGCTTTTTCATCCGTGTATAAAACATTCAACTTTAAAGCATTAAAAATGCAACAGTTAAATATGACACAAGAGACCTAACAGTAGTAAATGGTCTCAGCTAGCTAGGTTCATACACTAAATGCAATGGCCGTAACCTAGTAAAGGCCATTTATTTTGAGGTACAATTTGTCGGTAGGGTTAGTAATTCTTTTATGTAAAAAAAAAAAATCAACAGATTGCTTGATTTGCTTCATTGGTGAACATTTTTATGCTTAAAAATGATTGTTTTGTTTCATTAATGCCTTGTTTTAAGCTTGTATTTTCGATTTACAGAGTGACATTTTTGACATGGAAGCTGAACCACATTGTAACTGTTAGAAAAAAAAATTCGAATTTAATTTGGAAATTGAGTGAGATGATGCATTTGATGACTGATACTTTGGTTGTTTGATATAGTTGGAAAAGAAATTCAACTTTCCTCTCTCTGTGAACCAAAATTTCACTCTAGAAAAACCAGAAAAACTAAGTACAATTTAATTAATATTAACCAATTAATACTTATGACTACTGAGTGAGATGATGCATTTAATTTTCTGCATCATGCATGCAGGGCCAGGGACATCTATTCACACATCACATGCCATGCCCCTTCTTTATCTTTATCTTCAACATTGCATTTCCACTGGGTTGGTGGCATTTGATTATTTAGTTTATTTTTGGATGCAACTGTACTTTCAATAAGGTGCAATTAAATTTAAATATCAATTTTAATGAAATTCATTAAATATAAATTTTTTATTCAATTCTTTTTAATTACAATTACAATAATTTATTATCATTTTTAATTTCACTGGAATTGATTTCATTTTGAATAATTTTCATATTTTCAATTAATTATCCTCCAAATTATGATTAACATGTAATGATTAGTAAGCAATGTTTAGATATAAAGATACACTGATGATTAATAAAGTTTATTTGAAGATAATAGAGACTACAATCTTACAAAGTGCTTTTCATGTGCATGCATGCATGCATGCATGAAGAAATAAGATAACAGGCTTAAGAAACATAAACCCTAGTAAATATAAGACAGAGTAAGGAGTTTCATTGAGGCAAATAAGCAGAGAAATTAATACCTGATTAACTATTTGATTAAACAAAACCAAAGAAAAAAGACTATGAACAAACAACTATGGATATTTGTAGTGAAAAGATTAGGCCTTTTAGTACTTGGGTTTTGTTCATGCAATG